CACTATAGTCCTGTACAGTCAAAGCAGTCAGAATATAAGTATATGTTTCTTCTAATCTTCTGCACCCCCAGTATACCTCAGGCAATATGCAGTCAAAATTGTTTATTTGCCCTGTCTTTGATTTTTTCTTGCCCGTTCTCTGAGTAGCATTAGGTAAAACAGAGGTTTTTGCTTACCAGTGGAAGTCTGAACGTCCATATGTGCATTTAACATCATCCCACAATACCTGGAGAAGAACAAAGGCACAAGAAGAGACTATAAAAACCCCAAGGAGATGGACATATTGTGACACCATATTGTGAGTCCTTGCAAGTGTTGTACTTTCATGAACTACAGATCTTTTAATGAAGAGGGTTCTTTCTCTTCAAGGAAAACCAGTTTCTTTACCTCTAGATATACTCTTCTGAGTACATGTATTAAGCAGAGCTAGAGTATATTAAAGAGGATATAGAGTGAATGACTGCTTCTGTAAAATAAACCTAGCACCTACTGTCTTGCTTAGTATATAAGCTGGAGCTGTTTAGCACTCAGCTCAGTGTATGCTGTAGCAGAGGAATGAAGTGCACAAAACTGCAGCTATTGTTTTCTTTCCTGGTTTTTCCCTAATCAGCACTCAGAGTGAAAGAAATCTGGAGGAGTCCAGAAAGCTACAAAAGAATTGTGGACGTTGCTCCTCACCTGGCAAACCTCAGAATCATCAAAACGGTACCATTTGCATTCTGTGATGCTCCGAATGTAGGCACAGTAGTGTCCAAAATCAGTTGATCCTGAATGAGCAACAACGGCAAAGAGTTCATATTGCCAGGAAGCCTGGAAAGAGTTGCAAAGAAAATTTCAGAATTTCAGAAAATTTCAGCAATTCTGATCCACCACTGGCTGGTGAGAAGCAGCAAGGAAGACACCAGGAACACGCATTTCATAGGGAAAAAGGAGAAAGATTAGATTGAAGATCCTGTATTTGTCACTTACTCTCACACTTTTTCCTGATAGCAATAGGCTGGAAACCTCCCTAAAGGTCATGGCAATGGGGAAAAAGGCACCATGGGCAGCAAAGAGATGATACTGCAACCAACACAACTCCCTTCCCTACATCTCTGCAAGGGGAAAACACCCATAATGTGGCAGGTCACTCAGTTGCTTGGCAAAGCTGTTTCCCTGCTAACCACAACCGTGTGGTAAACATCGTGTGGGGAACTGCCAGAACTGGAATTACCTTATCTTGGGCTTCTGGCCTCTGCAAAGCATTTGGCCTGCTGCTTGCTGAGGATGTCTTGCCCAGGAAGCTGAATCTCAGGCCAAAAATTGCCTTTAGGATGTTCTTTACAACTGAATGCATCATTTTAAATGTTTTAATATCTTCTGCAGTATAATTAGAAATGTAAGAGTCAAGTGCTAACTGATCTCAGAAAAGAAGGATTGGGTTTTTTTGTTTGTTTTTTGAGTAAAGTCCTTTCTTCTCCTTAGGGCAGAAAGTTTGGGTCATTGTCAAAGGCATTAAATTGTCTTTGGCAATTTAATCTAAGTGTAAACCTGGGATAATGTCTGAAATGGTAAAAAAATCATGGTATGTGAGACAACAGCAGGCACAGCTAAAGAAATACTTTTTAAGACAAGTGCTTTGAACTGTGGTGAACACTAGCCTAAGTTCTGTGTTTTTGATGAATTTCAATAAGGGGGAGAAGAAAATCTGCCCCCCTCCCCCCCTTTTTTTAAGAAAAGGTGTTAGAAGCATCTCACCTTTTCACTGGCATCTGTTTGACACTGCTCTTCTGTCAAGACTGCATTGAAATCAAGGTCTTGTGGGAAGGACAGATAGTGACAAAGCTTGTGGGTGGAGGATGATCTTCTGAAGCAGAAGCGCTTTAGATGTAAGATCAGAGTCCGTGGCAGATGGGCTAGCTTCATGCTCTGCAAAGTCATAAATAATGTAATTGAAAACTCATGAACAAAGCTAGGGGAGGTGGGGATAGAAGCAGCTATTACAAGCCAGTGAATATGGCATGGAGAGAGATTGGTGCTACAGTGATTGAGTTTGATTTCCTCTGGACTGCAGGTACCGAACTTTTGTAGCCCATCTGCACGTGGGAGACATGTATATAATGGATCTGTGATGGCCAACTTTGTCAACTTCAGCATGATCAGGACCCAGCCTCGGGTGTCTGGTAGGCAATTTTATTTCTCATCTGTTTTCCTAACCCTAGGCTATTAGAACTCACACACCTGCTCCATCTGACCACAGAATGATTAAGGTTGGAAGGGATCTTTGGAGATCATCTAGTACATACCTCCTGCACTAGCAGGGTCATCTAGAGGACTTTACACAGGATCGTGTCCAGGCAGGTTTTGAGTATCCCTAGAAGAGGAGACTCCATAAGCTCTTTGGGCAACCTGCCCCAGTCCTCTTTCACCCCCACAGCCAAGAAGTTTTTCCTCACATTCAAGCAGAACTTCTTGTGCTTCCATTTGTGGCCATTACCTTTTCTCCTATCGCTGTCCACTACTCAGGGCCCACAAGGTAATATTGCTAAGGACTGTTTAGGCAACAAAAGCAGCCACAGTATACATGGTGCAGGCTGGTAGAAGGATGCCACAATCTGCAGACTGTTCCTGCCGGGCACAAACTGGCTGTCTTCACAAGGAATTTCCCTCTTCTAAGATTACCTGTAAAGATCCTGTGCCACGTGCTCTAGGTGACCTTGCGTGTGCAGGCAGGTTGGACTAGATGACCTTAGAGGTCCCTTCCAACCTTAAGCATTCTATGATTCCACGACTTTGAATGGTTCTGCCATCCTCTGGAGTATTTTTCAGCTGTGAGGTACCTAATGGGTTTGTCTCCTTATCCCTGAGCAGTATATCAGTGATAAAACTGGATGAAGGCAGATAGGCAGGCAGGCAGGCTGTGTCTGGTAAGGAGAAGAACACTGTCCCTGTAAGAGGAGGCCAGCAGAGCTCTGGGGAGGCTGCCAAGCTGTCCAGTCTCTCCTACCACCACTGCTTTAGCTGGTATCACTGCTGCTACCATCATGATATATGAATGCACTGTGGCCTAGAAGGCAGCCCAGTCCTGAAAATTTTGTGGAAAGCCCCTTACAGGCCTTGAGCTAAGGCTGTGTCCTCTGAACACCCTCCTCTCCAGCACACTTGCCTCTTCATGAAACAGCAGCTGGAAGAAGCCAATACCATAAAAAGTGGAGCCAAATGGAGAACAGTGAAGACAGCAAATCTACAATGTTCTGCTTTCAAAGGTATGCACAGCACCAGTAACATATTATGCTCGTCTATCTTTGGAACTTCACAGCCTTGTAGAGACTCACAATGGAAGTGCAACAAAGAGAGAAGCTTTCCCACTGGCTCAGAAATGCCACCTCTCTAATGATATACATCAAAACCAATGAAAGCACTCTTGTTAACAGAGCAGGGATCTTCCTGACAAGAAGAGTGCATGTGGCTTACACCTAGCTGACACCACTGCACTGACAAAACTCTGAC